ACATCTTTCTCTCTTCTTTCCCCATCTCAGGAACCTCAGAAGATGAAGGGAAGGGCTGAAATGTTGGCAGGTCCTTTTCTGACAGTGGCTGTGGCTGTGGTGGGGTCCCGATGATGACAAGAGAATAGAATCAGCCTCCTTCTGTCTGCGGCGGCGTCTTTGTCTTCCTCCGCCGGCTTGGAAAAACCTCCCATCCTATTGGTGATTCTTTGGAATTGAGACAGACACTGGCATTGTGGCAAGTCTCAAACACTTAAGCCGCCCTGGCTCTGTTTTTCGGGAGAGCCCGCTCTCTAACCCCAGAGGTCTCGGCAAGGTGGGGTGGGGGTATGGGACCAGGAGGCCATGTATGGCCAGCAGGCATGGATGGCACCTGTCCAGAATCTTTGTCAGAATGTCCTTCTTTGTTGCTTTTGTTTGTTCTTTTTGGCTACACCCAGCAGTGCTCAGGGCTTACCCCTGACTCTTTCTCTGCTCAGGTATCAGTCCTGGAGGCGCTCAGGGGACCTTAGGTGGTGCTGGGGCTTAAACTCGGGCTGGCTGCGTGCAGGGTCAGTGCCTTCCCTGCTGGACTGTATCTCCAGCCCCAGAGCTTCCTACTTTGAACTGACTAATATCCTGTCCATTAACCTGGCCTTTTCCTGGAGCCTGGGGAAGGGCTGTGTGTTGAAGGGGATGGGTGGGGGCAGGGAGTGTGGGGGTGCCGAGAACTCTTAGTCTGCCTGGTTTTTGTTTGGCTCCGATGGGGAGGGGAGGAACGGGGGATAGAGGGTGTGTGTCTGCCATGATCTGGAGGTAGTGGGTTCCGGTGGGAGAAATACCCTAACTTCCTAGGGGGTGCTCCGCTCTCTTCCGCTGGGTATGGATCAGACTTCTATTCTGGCAAGTGCAGAGGCGCGCCAGGGAGAAGACCCCAAATTGCAAGAGAACAAAGAGGGGCATCTGCCGGAGAGATGGCTCAAAGGCTGGGGAGCAAAGCACTGCACGTGGAAACACCGCCAGGTCCCCTGAGCACTGCTGGGTGTGGCCACTCCCCCCGTAGCCCCCAACCCTACAAATTAAAAAGCACAGGCCCTGCCTAGATTTGAATCTGTTTTCTTCCTTCCTGGCTTGGCCAGTCACTGGATTGGCTGTGACTTGCTCTGTGAACTGGGGTCTGTCAGAGTCCTGAAGCTGGTGGGGAGGGAATAAATGAGCCCGACATGTACAGGTCTCGGATGAATTCTCTGTACAGCAGATCTCTGTGAACCATGCCTGTAGGACACATTGCCAGCAGGAAACGGAAGCTGAGCTCAGCTCTGAAGAACCGGGAACCAGGACCCGTAGCGCGGGCTGGACGGGATTGGGGTGGCAGAGCTGGGGGTCCATCTCCCAGAGGGGTGAGTGTCCACCTCCAGGCCTGCCATTGCCTCCTCAGGCATCTCTTTTCTGGTTTTAGATTCTAGAGGCAGCTTAAAACAGTGTCCTATGGCACAGCGTCACCCCTTCTCTTCTGAGAATTTTTGTTTTGTTTTGGGGGCCACAAGCGGCCATGCTCAGGGGTTACTTCTGGCTCTGCACTCAGGAATTGCTCCTGGTGGTGCTCAAGGGATTATATGGAATGCTGGGGAACAAACTGGGGTCAGCCGTGTGCAAAGCAAGCACTTACCTGCTGTACTACTGTCTGGCCCCTCACTCAAGGAATTTTTTCATGAACCTGAATTAAACTGTAAAAGGGATCTAAAAAAAGAAAGAAAAAAAAGAAAAGGGCTGGAGCAAAATAGGGTGTCTGCCTTGCATGCTGCTGACCCGGGTTCAATTCCCAGCATCCCATATGGTCTCCCGAGCACTGCCAGGGGTAGTTCCTGAGTGCAGAGCCAGGAGCAACCCTTGAGCATCGCTGGGTGTGACCCCCCCAAAAAAAAGCAAAAAAAAAAAAAAAAAGGGATCTAGAAGTTGGGTCTAGGGCCAGAGAGATAGTACAGAGGTTAAGGCTCTTGCCTTGCACACAGCTGACCTGGGTTCGATCCCTCGCACCCCAAACACCGCCAAGAGTGACTTCTGAGTGCAGAACCAAGAGTAACCCCTGAGCATTGCTTGATATAAAAACAAAACAACAAAAGAAACTTGGTCTATATTTGTCCTAATGAAGTATAAAGAAATATTCTGGAGAACAAATCTTTGTAAGTTACATAACAACACCCCCTCTCCCCCAAGCCCTGTGAGTCACAGCTGAAGCTGCTAGGTTTTAGAAAATGGGCAAACAGGTTTTCTCAGAAGTTAAAATGTGGGACCAGAGCAATAGTATAGTGGGTAGTAGAGTGCTTGCCTTGCACATGGCTGACCTGGGTTCAATCTTTGGCACCCCATATGGTTCTCCTAGCCTGCCAGGAGTGATCGCTGGGTTCAGAGCCACAAAAAGCCATGAATGAACCCTGAATACCATGAGGTGTGATCCAAAATACAAAAACTAACGGAGGCTGGAGTGATATCACAGCGGGTAGGGCGTTTGCCTTGTACGCAGCCAACCCGGGTTCGATCCCCAGCATCCCATATGGTCCCCTGAGCATCACCTGGAGTAATTCCTGAGTGCAGAGCCAGGAGTAACCCCTGTGCATCGCCGGGGGTGACCCAAAAAGAAAAAAAAAGGTTAAAATGGCTCTTGAGGCTGGAGAGCTAGTACAGGGGCCAAGGTATTTATCATGCATGTGGCTTACCCTAGTGCAATCCCCAGCCCCCCTAGGGTCCTCAACTACTGCCACCTGTTAGAGACCCCAGGAGCGAAAGGAGTGACCCTGGCTTTCACAGAAGCCAGTCTATGAATATTGAAACCTAAGAAGTGTCCTCTACTTGATGGTGATGTGACACCCAGTGGATCCATTACTCTGCAGACGAGAGATTGAGCCCCACATCTGAGCTGCACCCCAGAAGAAGTGAACCTGATGGTCAAGGGCCCACAAGGTGGTCCCCCAAGATCATTTCCATGAAATGGGGGAACAAAGTCATGCAAGAGAAACAGAAGTGGTTTCTTGGTGGACAGTGGACAAGGGCGGGGATGCAGAGAGTACAATAGAGGACATTCACTCATAGTAACACTGTTTCTTTTTGGGGTTGTACAAATGTTCTGGAATCAGAAATCAGACAAGCTGTGACTAGACTGGAAACCAAGAACAAGGGAACAATTTAATAGGTTTCAAGGGCGGGTGGAGAGTGGAGAGACAATCTAGGAACTAAGGCGTTGGCCTTCTCCTGAGCACAACAGAGTGTGGCCTGCGAAAGAAATAAGTAGGAGAGAAATAAAAGGGTGGACTGTATGTATATAAACTATATGTTAAGAAAATGGGCTGGAACAACAGAACAGCAGGTAGGGTATTTACCTTGCACGTGGCTGACCTGGGTTCGATTCCCAGCATCCCATATGGTCCCCTGAGCACCACCAGGAGTAAATCCGGAGTGCAGAGCCAGAAGTAACCCCTGTGCATTGCCGGATGTGACCCAAAAAGGAAAAAAAAAAGGGAGGGGGGCTGGAGCAATAACACATGCAGCTGACCTGGGTTCGATTCCCAGCATCCCATATGGTCCCTTGAGCACTGCCAGGAATGATTCCTGAGTGCAGAGCCAGGAGTAACCCCTGTGCATTGCCGGGTATGACCCAAAAAGAAAAATAAAAGAAAAAGCTGGGGGCTGGAGCAATAGCACAGTGGGTAGGATGGTTGCCTTGCACGCAGCTTACCTGCATCTGCTCCCTGGTACTGCACACGGTCCTGCGAGCCTGTCAGGAGTGATGCCTAAGCACAGAACCAGGAGTAAGCCCTGAATACGGCTGGGTGTGGTACCCCCTCCCCCAAATAAAGCTGGGGCTCAAAAGGGGCAGAGCTGATGCAAGGCTTGTGCAAAGCCATAAATTCCATCCTTGCTACCACACCCCAACTCCTCCTTGGGCACGCCCATGATCTCTGGGTGTAGCCCTGGTGGTCCTTAGAGCAGCGTCCACAGTCCAGCTGTCTGCACTGCCAGGTGTCGCATGTCCCAGTTAACAGCTCCCCCCTTGGCATAAGGCTGATCCCCACCTGTGACCTGCCCCACCCCAGCCCACCAGAAATGCTGCCTGAGCACTGAGCCAGGAATAAACCCCAAGTTCCTCCAGCTTTGGCCCAGAACTCACGTTCCTCCCTCCCCTTCCATGTTGTGTAGGGACCGGAAGGCCAGAAAGAAACGAGAAACGGGTGTGGCAGGTGGGTAAGTGGGGGCATAGGGAATAAGGGGCTGTACATTTGATATATTAGAGGGGATATAGAAGAGATGTACTCAAATAGTTGAAAAAAAATTTGGAGGGGAAAAAACACCCAGAAATTTCAGATATTCTTGAATACATGGTTTATCAGGTAATATATACAAGATTGACTCTTCCTGCCTCTTCCAAGGCCTCAGAATACACAGTCTTACACTGGGAATGGTTGAATCTGACCTGTCCGGATTCTGAGAATCGCCAGTTCTCCCCGAGCTCTGCTTAGCCCATCTCTGTTGTCATCGACCTTATTTCTCTCATCATCAGGGGCTCGACTGGCTTTTTTTCTTTTTTTTCCTTTCTGAAAGTCTTAGTTGAAAAACAAGCATCCACCTTTTGGGGTGCAGCAACGTTTAAGACAGTTTCACATTGCAGGGAAAAGAACGGGGAATCCACCACACACACGCACACACACGCACGCACACACACGCACAAACACGCACGCACACACACACACACACACAAAAGACCGTGAAAGCCTGTAGTGTCTCAGATAGATGCCTGCACGGTCAAGCTGCGGCCCCTCCCCCCTGGCTGTGCACCGATTTAAGGTTCACAAACTTGGGCTTTAAAAAAAAAATTAAAAAAAAAAATTCAAGATACAGGGTTGTTAAACAAAACAAAACAAAACAAAACAAAAAAAACAAATCAAAACAAAAACCCAGAACAACACTGCCTCGAAATGCAGAGGGGCCCGAACGCCGTCTCGCCGGTCGCCGCCCTGCAGAACCGACTATTCTCTGTTGATACACTTATCACAGCCCAGCTCTTCGATCAGAGGGTTGATGACTTCGGAGGCCGTCAGCGCGATGGTGAACATCAGGATGTCAAAATCCATCCTCTGCGGGTTCCGCTGGTAGTGGGCGTCCAGAGCGGCCTCGCGGGCCCGGCAGGCCTCCACGAAGCGGCGGCGGCGCTCCTCCAGCGCCTGGATGCGGCCGGGGGTGATGGGGTAGTTGACCAGGTAGTGGCGCAGGAACTGCTGGTAATTGATGCCCAGGAGGCTGAGCGGGTGGCGGAGGCGGAGGTAGGGCAGCGCGGCCCGGCCCTGGCCGTGCCCGGCCCTGGACCGGCGCCTGTTCTCGGGACCCTCGTCCTCCGCGGGCTCCGCCAACACCCGGCCCACTTCTGCCATCCGGGCGTCCCTGGCCGCCGCCGCCACCGGCACTTCTCCCGCCGCCGCCGCCGCCGCCGCCATCGGACCCCGTCCGGCCGCCGCCATCGGACCTCCTCCCGCCGCCGCCGCCGCCGCCATCGGACCTTGCTCGGCCGCCGCCATCGGACCTCCTCCCGCCGCCGCCGCCGCCGCCATCGGACCTTCTCCCTCCACCGCCATCGGACCTTCGCCCTCCGCCGCCATCGGAACCGCGCCTGCCGCCACCATCGGACCGGCCCGGGCGTTCTCGGGCAGCGCCGGGGCCGACGCCTGCCTCCCGTCGCCTGCCTCCTCCTGCCGGGCAGCGCGGGCGCCACTCGCGGCGCCCGGCGCCGGGCCACTGCGGTCGGCGGGCAGCTCGGACATCTCGGACTGCGGGCTGGGTCGGTCGGAGGGAGCGGGCAGCGGGAGCCGGGGAGTCGCGGGCGCGCGCGGCAGGCGGGAGCGGTGGCCGCGGGTGGACGTGGCGTGCGAAACCGTACGCGGGCGTAGATCCCGCGGGTCGACGCGGGGCACTGCGCATGCGCCGCCCCGGAGGGCGCGCCGGGCTCCGGGCGCCACCTAGCGGCCAGCGGCTCCGCCGCAGCCGACGTGGTCCGTTGGCCGGGGACCGTTGCGAGAGTAGCCGTATTTTACACTCCCACCAGGTCGTTTTTTTTTTTTTTTTCTTTTTCCGTTATAAAGAGTCTTAGGGAAGGTCGTTTACAGTTGCACCGTAGCCTGCCTCTAAGTTTCTTCCCCAGTGATTATAATGCCAAGATTTTATACCAACGTGTGTTAGAGTCACTTTTTTTTTTAACAGGGATGGTTTAATTCTCTTCTTTTGGTTTGGGTACCACACCCTGCAGTGTTCAGGGCTTGCTGCTGCCTCGATGTTCAGGGATGCAGAAGTAAGAGGACCTCATCTGGAAGTGCTTTGGTGCCACGTGGTGCTGAGAATCAAAGCGCCTTAACCCTATACTGTCTGACCCCAGCCCTGTTCCTTTGGGCAATCTATATACTGCCTTCTGTAGAGGCCGAGCCAGGTGGCATTCCCACCAACAGTGAATGAGGGTTTCTCTTTTACTGTTGGTGTTGGTGGGTCGGGCTCTTGCCTGGCACTTGGCTGACCCGGGTTCAATCCCTGCCCCCAAACATCAAAAAGTCTGGTTGTTGATCGCTTCCTGTCTTTCTAATACATGCCGTCCTCTCTGGTTGAGATGACACTACATTGCCATTTGAATTTTCTTCTGTTTGAGGGCCACCCAGTGGTGCTCAGGGTTTATTTCTGGCTGTGCTCAAGGATCACTCCTAGCAGAGCTCAGGAGACCATACGCAATGCCAGGGATTGAACCCGGGTTGGCTGTTTGCAAGGCAAGTGCCTTACCTGTTGTATTACAGCTCAGATCCTGTCGTTCAAGTTCTTGATTAAAAAAAAAAAGTCAAAGTGCAGAGTCAGGAGTTACCCGAGTATTCCTGGGTATGGCCAAAAAACAACAAAACACCTATTTGAATTGTATAATATCCCCCCACCCCCAACAAAAGACAGGCTTTAATGACAAGGAACAATGAACAGTCTTTTTATTTTGAGGGGAGGGGCCATATCTGGCCGAGTTCAGGTTCAGGGGTTACTACCGGCTCTGTATTTAGGAATCACTCCTGGAAGGCTCTGGGGACCAAATGGAATGTCAGGGATCAAACTCTGGTCAGGTCTGTGCCAAGCAATCTCCCACAACCCACTGTATTGTCACTCTGGCCCCTTGACTCTATTCTTGGGAAGAACTGCTCCAGCGGTCACCCATCCCTTGAGGTCAAGCTGTGGGTCCTTCCAACCCTCCTTCCGGTCCCTCCTCCTTCAAGGACTCGCAAACCCTTAGACGCAGCTAGAGAGAGAAGGGAGTCATTTGGATGCCATGGGAGAAGTTTGTGAGCGTGTGGATTATGGGTAAAGGAGAAAGTGAACTTCAAACCCCTAACTTCATCAGCTATGAAAGTCTTTCCTCCTGGGACTGGAGAAGATAGTACAGTGGGTAGGGCGCTTTCCTTGCACACAGCTAATATGGGTTTGAACCCCAGCATCCCATATGCTCCCTGAGCACCGCAAGGAGTGATTCCTGAGTGCAGAGCCAGGAGTAATCCCTGAACCTGAACACTGCCTGATGTGTCTAAAAAACAAAACAAAAAAAGTCTTTCCTTCTGTTTACTAATGTCCACTGGTTCCTTCTGTACAGCTCATTCTCTCCTTGACCTCTCTCTGGAGAGCTGGGTTGTCTAATCATCCAGTTTCCTGACATTGGTCCTACCTATTAAGTTTCCGAAACAGGCCTGGAACATATTAAGCTCTTGGTAAAGGGCTTAATGTGGCTCCTCAGTTGAGCACCAGCTCCCCACCTTCAGGTCCAGGAGAGCTCCATGAGGGAGAGCACAGCCCCATGCCAGGCTACAGGCCCTGTCTCAGCCACGCTGCCCCTTCTCCTGGAGTTTGGGATTCTGAGAAGCCTCTTTAAGGGGGTCCCCTGGGAGGGGGGCGTTTTTTAACAGGGATGGTTTTAAAATTTTTATTAGTGAAACACCATGGGGTACAGTTGTAGACTTACAAATTTTGTGCTTGGGTTTCAGTTATACAATGATCAAGTACCCATCCCTCCACCAGTGCCCATTCTCCACCACCAATGATCCCAGTGTCCCTCCCACCCCCCCATCCCACCCTGCCTTTGTGGCAGGGCATTCCCTTTTGTTCTCTCTCTCCTCTTGGGTGCTGTGGTTTGCAAAAGAGGCACTGAGTGACAATCATATTCGGTCTATAGTCTACTTTCAGCATCCATCTCCCATCCTGGGAGGATCGGGAGAGGGGTCTTCTTCAAGCCTGACACCGCCCTGTCCTTTGAGCCACTCTTCCCTGTGACTAAAGATTTTCTCAGGAATTTGCTTCTGGTCTCCACCACTTCCTCACTTTAGGAACAATTAATCTTTGTTGTTTTGGGGTCACTCCTGACTCTGTACTCAGGAATCCTAGCACTCCTAGTGGTGCTTAGGGAACAATATGGGGTGCTGGGAATTGAACTCGGGTTGGCTCCTTACCTGCTGTGCTATCATTCCAGATAGCAACAACAAAAAAGACTTGTTAATTTTTTAAGATTTAGGCTACAAGCAGTGGTGCATAGGGCTGACTCCTGTCTCAGGTCATGGGGGTCACTCAATGGGATTGGGGGGGGGGGGCGCTATGTGCAGGGGATCTGGACAGTGTCCGTGGGGTTAACCTTAACTCTTGATCCCTGGAAGGAAACGTTTAAAAGGTCACAAGTCTTTGCTCCCAAGTCTCTTAATATTATATGAGAGAACTTGTCAAATTTCTTTAAGAATTGTTTGGACTGAGTTGTGTTCTATATCAGTTTTGAAGGCACATAATTGATCTGCTTTAGATTTACAACATAGTAATACTGGATTTATGAGTCTTACTGCACAGGATTGAATTGGTGTCATTTGCAGTTAGCATTACTAAAAATCAGCATTTAAAATAGCAAATAAGGGGCTGGAGAGATAGCACAGCTGGTAGGGCGTTTGCCTTGGGTAGGACGTTTGTCTTGCACGCAGCCGACCAGGGTTCAATTCCCAGCATCCCATATGGTCCCCTGAGCACCGCCAGGAGTAACTCCTCAGTGCAAAACCAGGAGTAAACCCTGTGCATCACCAGGTGTGACCCAAAAGCACTGTCCTCCCACTGTTCATCGATTTGCTCGAGTGGGCCCAGTAACGTCTCATTGTGAGACTTGTTACTGTGTTTGGCATATCGAATACGTTACAGTTAGCTTGCCAGGCTTTGCCGTGTGGGCAAAATACTCTCAGTAGCTTGCTGGGCTCTCCAAGAGGGGCAGAGGAATCAAACCTGGCTCGGCCGGGCTGGCGGCTTGCAAGGCAAATGCCCTACCGCTGTGCTATTAGCTTTGGCAGCACATAAACTAAAATTGGAACGATACAGAGATTAGCATGGACCCAAAAAGAAAAAAAGAAACCGCAAATAAATAATTAAAAGATCAGAACTGTTCTTGCAAAAGGACCATTTCTAAGTCTCCATCCTCACTCCCACCCCCCAAAGACTCTGGCTCCATCTTCTGGATTTTGTCAGGGCAATAATCATCTCAGCATTTTGCGACAACACGATTTTATTTTGCACTCACATTACATTATCTGCTCCAGGAGGGTGGGTGGGATCGGTTCCTCCTCTCGGGATTCAGCTGGTGAAGCCTTGACTAGGTAGCACAGAGTCACGTGTGGCAAGATGGCAAACAAGCAGTGGAGCCCGAGGCTGCCGATGCTCTTGGAACTTGTGTTCAGAAGGGACATCTTGCCCCCCACTTGCTCGCACTTCCAGCCCCAGTCAGTCAGGGTCAACCAATGTTGATAGGCATCAAGTCTGTCTCTCTTGGGGGTCCAGTGACAGAACTTTCGGAGCATGCACATGTGTACGCGTGCACACTCCCACCCCTCCAATTGATTTTGAAATTTTTATAGTCTTTGTATAACACGAATAGAACAGCAATTCATCAATACCAGTGAATGACTCCTGCATGGCCTCTGTTCCACATGGAGAGGATATAGCCCGCTGGCAGGTTGGTTCATTTCTTCAACAGACAAAATCAAAATCACGGAAATACAACCATGGGGGGAAAGGTTTTTGACAGAATTCCAACACCGTTCCTAAAAATAAACACTTAAAATACATGGAGTGATGGAACATTCCTGCGTGTGATTACAAAGAAACCTGACTCACTTGCCTCAGTACCCTCAAAAGCATCATACTCTACATGAAAGAGAACGATCTCTAAGCTAGGAAAGAAGTAACCAGATCCATAACTGTCATCCTTTTAATACTGTACAGATGCTGGCATCCAGACTGCCAAAGAGATATATTTTTGGTCTTGGGGACAAACCCTATGGTGCTGAGGGATCATTCCTGGAGGGGCTTGGGACACCACACAGGGTGCTGGAGACTGAATCTGGGTGGGCTGCATGCAAGGTAAGCGTCTTCCCTTCTGTACTATCTCTTCAGCCCTGAAATGCAAAATACGTAGCCAAAGAGTCCACTAAAAAACCCATAAAAAGATTAAAATCCAGGAATAATATTTTTTTTTAGGGGGTAGGAGGTTTGAGCCATACTCAGCTATGCTCAGGGCTTTACTCCTGGCTCTGTGCTCAGGGATCACTGCTAGGCTGTCCCCATTCAATGGAAGTGCCTTAACTGCTGTACTATTTCTCTGGCCCCTCCAGGAGTAAGCTTAACAGAAAATGTGTTAATATCAAGTTGAAGAAAAAAATTGGCTTCTGCTGAAGGGTCAGAACTGCATGAGGCCGGAGCGAGTCTGTGTTTTGAGGAAGCCACTGAGCTGGGTGCAGCCCGGGAGCATGCTGGGGGGGCGGGGGGGGGGGGGGGCTAACAAAAGGAAACAATACAAAAACCTCTAAGCCTGGGAGCCGCAGGGCCCTGGCCCCGGTACCACAGCACCTGGAGAAGTCTTGATGGCCTCTGAGACAAA